CGAAGTTGTCGTCCTCCCAAAAGTTGGCGGAAGTAAAGGATGGACAAATAAATAGCCAGGAGTTCACGAGAAAGCATTCTGTATCTTGCCTGTGCGGCCTAAAGATTTTGCGAGAAGAACGCTCAGGGTTGTAATTGACTGTCTACAATTTGGTGAAGCACTTCACCTACCGCAGTACCGGATGTATCGGTTGTTGGGATTAACTCGGTATTCGGATCCGAATGTGGACAATGCAGCATGGTGGCATCTGCGAAAGCTGACCCGGCCTCTGGAGTGAAATCAATCGTCTTGACGTTGGGCTTGAGCAGATCGGTTTGAGGTGAAGCAATGGTGGTACGGGGAAAAATGAAATTGCGGTAGTAGTTCAAAATTCCTGTTGCAACTATCCCGACGTCTAGGGCTGTGATTTTAGCAGTAACTTGGTTTCACTAGCTACACGCACGATATGGTCAGAACAGGATTACGGGCAGCAGAACAAATTCCAATCGAATAACCGTGTTTATCGAACATTCGTGGTTCTAAATAATACAATAAGTATAAATATACAGCAAATAAAGGACTTACAGCCAGGTGAGAAACCAAGAACAATGAGCAGTAAGCTCCCAAAAATAGGGACAGCGCAGAAAATAAAAAAAGGTCTACTTAACAGGCAGCTGAAAGAAACTGAAGCGCAGTTCGGTTGCGGTACAGTCAATAAATCAAGAGTGTTTACCGTCAAAGATCAATAAATCGATTACAAACGCGTGAATTGGGCTGTGTTTGCAATGGTAAAAAGTGTCATTAACAAATGGGTACAAATAAGCTAAGTCTGTGGAGTAAACAAAGGCACGTGTCAACATGAATAGGTGGATGCGGCACTAGATCTCCTAATGCCGTCGACGTATGACGGCCAATAGTGGAGTGCACTGACAGAAACGATAAGACTGGGAGTTCGAGCCTCCGCTCGGCAGTACAAATGAAACACTCAGAAAGATTATATAACAGTAGAAGTGTAGACCTTCGGGAAAACAAGGTTATGAACAAATACGTGAACTGTTCATGTAATAAGCACCATGAAACTCAAGTATAAACTGATGTGATACCTTAGAAACAAGGAAAATACATTACGAATGTCCGGGGTTCACGATGCATGTACTCACTACTAATAAGTAACTAAACAGAAGGCAGAATGACAAAATCTAATTACTATTCGTAATTACCAATTCCCAAGAAACGCCGTAACTGCGTGATCGTTTTAGGCGCAGGAAATGAGAGGATGCTGCGCACCTTATCTGGAAGGGGAGTCAAACCGTTTTGATCGATACGGTGCCCGAAGAATTCGAGGGACGGGACAGCGAACACGCATTTATTAGGGTTCAGTTGCAGTCCATATTGTCGGAAACGCTAGAAGAGTTGAGGCAGATGAATGGCATGCTTTGATGGAGAGGCGCTGGCAACAAAGATGTCGTCGATTTAGCCAAAATCGAAGGGTAGACCTCGAAGCACTTCATCAACGAATCGTTGGAACGTCTGAGCAGCGGTTCTCAGACCGTATGGCATGCGTGTGAACTCGAACAGGCCAAAAGGCGTAGTAATGACTGTCTTGGGAATATCTTCTCCGGTCACGGGGATTTAGTGATATGCCTTAACGAGGTCAATCTTGGAAAAGATCGTCTTCCCAGAGAGATTCTGTGCAAAACCATGAATGTGCGGGATCGGGTACCTGTCGGGGACAGTGATGTTGTTGGGGGTACGGTAGTCTCCACAGGGTCTCCAATCACCAGTTGACTTTGGAACCATGCGCAAAGGAGAGGCCCATGGGTTTGGAGATGGTCCAATGATGCCAAGATTTATCATGTGTTCAAATTCAGGGCGTGCAGTACGGAGTTTGTCGGCTTTGAGTCGTCGTGGTTGAAAGTGGACAGGTTGGCCTTTTGTGGTGATGTGGTGACGCCCAGCATGAGAGACTGGGTCGGTAAACTGACACGGTTTACTGGGGGATGAAAATTTCTTCAAAATGTCAGCAAACGGCGATTGCCGGATCGCCAGCCGAATACCCAAGGAGTTGGTGCATTTACCAACGCCGACTGCACAAAGTTTGGTTGTGGTGTCTACCAGCTTGCGATTTTTGAGGTCCACAGTTAGACCGAAGTGTGAGAGGAAACCTGCGCCGATAATGGGTGTCTGAACATCTGCCTGGATGAAAATCCATTGAAAAGATCGTCGGAGGCATAAATCAAGAGTAATGAACCGCTGGCCGAATGTAGCTATAGTTGTTGTATTTGCTGCTTGCAGTGTGAAATGAGATGGTTTTAGGTGATGATGTTTGGGTGGAGGGATTACACTGATCTCGGTGCGTGTATCGATAAGGAATCGAAGGCCACTGGATCGGTCAACGATTTAAAATAGGCGACTTTCACGTGGACAGTCAGCCGCAGTCGTCGCCGTTACTGGTTGGCCCGGCCGTTTGATTGTGAAATGGAAGTACGGAATGAACTTGGAGGATCACAGCAGCATGCCTGGGAGCGGAATGTGCGTTTTTACCAAAACCAGGTTTGTAGCCGGCGATTCCTGGACAGCGGTCTAGGTCGATGCGGTGTTTCGGCGGGCACAGGTCGATGAGTAGTTAATGCATTGCACATTACGCCGACCTGATTGCACAACATGCAAACGGTTTTATTCAGGTCCGTAATGTCCTTATCGATATGAGAGTGATGAGATGGGAGATCAGGACTGCGTGGACCATCGCCACGGCTACCTGGGGCAGGTACTGGCAATGTCATAGGGAATTCGTGTGTCGGAATGGTTTCAGCGGGTGATGTCATGCGAAAAAAGGGCCTACCAGCCGGGTAGCATTCCATTATTCTATCGGCTTGTTGTTCAACTTTGCCAAAGGTATTAGTGGACTCCAGCGACGAAAAGACCTGCTGCAACGGGAGAGATAGCTTATCGACCCATATCTCCCGGAAAATGGCGTCGTCCACTTGGCGTCCAGCCAGTAGCAACCGTATGTGGAGCATAAGTTGGGACGGAGTTTGGTCTCCGGGCTCCACCAAGGCAAACAGCTCAAGGAGCATTTTTCCGGCTAATTTTCCGGTACGCTGAATGAATGCCTCCTTAAGCTTCGTGTAAGGAGCTTCTGAGAGAATTGGATAGAAGGGATCTTCCTTGTCAATGGCGATGTCAAAAGAAAGCGCTTGTACAAGGTGGGAGTATTTCACTCGCTCGCTGGTTATACGTCGAGATGTAAATACGGCTTCTACTTGTCAAAACCACATCGAAGGTTGGTCGGGGCAAAAAAGGGCAGTTTGAGAGCAACCGTGTGGATTTCAACAGATTCGGTGCCGGACATGGTGAATTGCATGGAATTTGGACCAAAAGAGTGAAAGCTAGTATAGGAGAATAGAGAAACAGTCTGGGCTCGTTTATTTCCTATTCCGCTACTCCGTTTATATGGTACCCTAAGTTAATGTCAACAACATCTAAGACGACACTAGCAAACCAAGATGGGCGAAGGAGCGTGTTGTGGTAAAAGGCCAAAAGGGTGTGTACATTAGAAATTAAAATGAAACAAAAGATGTGACACAAACTCACAGTTGTTCGCTGTTCTCGTGATCATGAAATGAGCGCCAAAGGGCCAACATCCGCCAACATCTTCAGTTCAGTTCGGCCTGACAACCATTCGTTGAACAGAACAGGATGGTATTGAGTGAAGTGCCACCTGACGCCGTGGAAGCTCCCAAAATGTTTTGTTTCTCACAGTTAGTTCCGACCGATACAATTCCAGGACACTCCAACTCAGAAGATAAGACCGTGCCAGAATGAAAGTTTTGTTGACAGCTCTTTTGTATTGCGCGGTAATGATGTTCAAACGGTGTGTGTATGTTACGTTAAAACGTCTGTACAACAAAGGAGTGTCGCACCAAGGGACGTTGAAAATCATGGAAAAGGTCGGCAATGTGCAGGTACCTACAAATCCCTGCCTGGTGTTTTGGCCAAACGGAGCCGGTTTTCCCCATCAACCGTGTGTGTTTTCAGCCTATAGTGTACCCTTAAAATATCCAAGTTTGTCCTGCAGAGGTTGCGGAGGATGTGTGTGATCTGGTTCACGAAAGCCCATCAAACGACCCATCCAACAGAACCAAGCACTCGATTACCCAACGGATTGAATTGTTTGATCATCATCTCATCGAAACGTTGTCCATAAAGCTTTACCTCGGCGATCGCAAGCCTTCTCAACTTCGACTGCACATGAAGAACTCCCTTGGTCCACTAGAAATAGACGACTCTCTCCAAAGACATCTTCTCCCCCTTCGAATGCCTACGGATAATGCACTTTTTTCTCTAGCCCACTTATGTGTTGTAGGTCCCTTACCACTGGCTGACGGGTACCTTTTCCCCCAACAAGTGTGGAGCGTTTTACGCGTCGGCCCATGGCTGTCATCATAGCCGACACCTTCGGTGAAACAATTTCCAAGCTTTTCTGCACCACTGGGTTCCCATGTTTGGAGCTCCCTCTACCGTCACCACTGATGGAGGTGCTCAATTTTAGTTCAAACTCTTCCATGATATCGGTTCTCTCTTGGATTCCAACAAACTCGTACAACACCATATCTCCATCATTCAATGGATTGATAGGAAGCTTCCATAGACAACTGGAAGCTTCTGTCACCTCCATCTCTCATTCGGACGGACGCCCTTCCATTAACCACGTTATCCATACGCACTGCTGTAAAGGAATATTTTGGGTTTTTTCCCGCTGATTTGGTTTTCGGCTTACCCCTTCAATAGCCCGGTGAGTTTTTTGGACGCAGTCCTGATGTTAGTGACAATGCAAATTTTGTTTGGCAACTAATGTTTTACATAAAATCACACCGTTTTCCTCTAACTCGGTCCTCTATTCGTTTGATCCACGTTCCCGGAGACTTAACCACGTGCGTTCAAGTTTTTTCTCCGTTTTCATGCTGGTAGACCCCCGTTGCATTCACCATACTCAGGCCTGTTTCGAGCAATTTCCCGCAATGGAATTTTTTGACACTGATAAAGCTGGTCAGCCGAATACTGTCAGTATAGATCGCTCCAAAGTAGCACACCTTGATTTGGACTATTGGATTTGGGTTCCCTTCAAGGAAATTTCTACTCCTCTTTCTAGTGAGGCCAGTCCTCATGTTTCTAACGACCTGAGTACTCCGCATGTGATTGACGCTGTTCGTCCTCCCACAACTCGTTCTAGTTGTAAGATTGTTAAGGCCATTCGTTTTCAACTCCCATGGCATTTCTCCGCGAGCATCTACACTCGTTTGTCCGGTGCTCTTGGAGGGAAATTCCGAAGAGCTTGCATTGATTTTCAAACCTCGGCCTAGAAGTTTACCGATTTGAATTTCTTCTCAGCCCGGCTATACCGTTCACTCTCGTTTGCTTATCGATCAGTAGCCAGCTGACTCCGTTAAAGCAAACACACGCACTAACGGTCTTTTCATCCAAAGGCTTGATCATTCACTTTTTCTATAAGAGCATTTGCAGTGACACCGTGCCGGCCTTTTCACTACATTACCATGGCTACACTATCAGCATAAGCACAGTGACAAAATTGGTCTTCTCTATCTGGAGTTCCAGTTCTGTTTGAATTTCTCCATCACCGATGCTGCATCAGGACCTCTGTCGACAGACGCCATGTAATCTATGCAATGAAGGTCATTACGCCTGTTGATCCAACCCCGGATGACTAAGGTCGTTGATAGCGCGAGGTGCATAGAAAATCACGCTTCACCTCAACATTTCCTCGGCGGTTGATTAACTGACTTCGTTTACCAAATGATGGTGTTTTACTTGCCCCCCTTCTTGGTTGCAGCTTTCTCCCACTGGGCTTACAATTACTCGACGGAATAGTGTGGGCAAGTCAAGTGGGTCCCAGAAATCAGTAATATTCCAGCGCTCGTAGGTATTCGCTTTCAAGAGCCGGGGACACTCCCCCAGAAAATGGTTTCGCTAGATGCACCTTATATGTGGGTGAGTCGTTATCTTCGTGGTATACGGCGTGCGCTTCTGATTGATCGTGGCTTCCACCGGAATCTACAGGCCAGGTTCGTGATGACGTCGTGGCTCGGGATATTTCGCTACTTTCGCAGGCAATTTGGCTGAGGCACCTGATAGCTGTTCGCGCACGACAATTCTAAAACTGCTCCAGGTCTTCAAGTATTTTCTCCCACATAAAACCGGTTACTTTCTCGGCTATCTCAGCCCACCCACCCTGTAGTCCCGTGGGAACACTGCGGTTAAAGACCTTAAACATGTTCGCCGCTTTGAGGTCCAATCGGTAGTTTACACAGCTTGAAGAAATGCAGCAGTCTTACGTCTTTATAATTAGATCGTCTGGGGAACTAAATTTGCCGCTGGTACTTACCCTCTGGAAGGGCGCCACTCATCAAAATGTAAGCCACAACGGATGGCTCTCCAGATAGGCCCTTCTAAATTGCCTAAACATGTGTGGTCCTTTAATGACCGTCCGGAATGTAGTTACTCTTTATCAAGACTTTACACTAAAACACACAAGTGACCTTCGATCATGTGAATAAATAATTTTACTTCATACTTCAAATTGCACTGTGTTCCGTAAACCATCTCGACTTGGGATAGCTGCTACAGTTCATCTGTTACGGTTGGACTGCACGGTTGGCGTCTTAACAGTTAATTAACGCAAAACAATCCTGCGATTCAAGAACTTTGGATACAACTTCTCCTGGATGTGAGGTTGAAGATGGTTTCGAGGGTTTTGCACTGCGATGCACCGCCTACCATGGTATTTCGGAGAAGAGAAAGACCGCGGATTTCTTGTGTCGTGGGCCAGTCAGCCTATGGTTTTAGTGAGGATCTTGCATACCGGAAGTAACCAGTTACCCTGAATGACCAAAAAGCCAAAATGTTGGCGGCCTCCATGAAAAGCCCGTGAATTTTGAAATTGCAGGAAGAGCGAAATTTCTTCAAGTTCGGAGCAGTGATGCCTAATATCTTCATGTATTTTTAAATAGCAGACGCAAGCTGCTCCATACGGCCTTGTTGACCAGCTTGGAATACAACTGCTTGATGCGATCATTGCAAGCCTTAGTTTCTCTCAGTTGCATGAAGGCTTCTTCCGTTACTAAGCCCTACGCTGCGGCGTACGCGTGACGTATATAAACAATAGCAGGATGCAAATAACCTATTGGATGCTGCCTCTTCTGGCTTGTTGCTTTGTTCAACTAAGACGTTATCCAGCGCGCAGTCATACACTCTTAGGTCCAATGTGCAGACAAATGCAGATTTCAGAAATCAGAACTCGGCCTCCGTCGGTCTTGTGTCAACAACTTATTAGACAAATGCGATTTTTGTGGTAAAATACGTTCTCTTTCGACCCGTCGCCTCCTCAACGCTAAATGCAACAGGTAAGTAAATTCATTCAAACCATGTGCGAACAGTCATCTACATAAGTTCGGTCTCCAAATCTTATTCTTTCGAGTATTTTTACAGCTCTTCTCACTCAGTGGTGGGTACGGCTTGTCGACTGATAACTCGTTTACTTCCACTGATAGTACAATTTCGACGTGGTCTTACTGTGGACATTAGTATTGTGGGTTTTTTCCATTTTTCTTCTACGTCTTGCTATTCCTGACATTCAGCCGCTCCAGAAGGATATTGTTGTCGAGCGTACAGCCAGATATATCTTACCTAGTCTTGGCCTATGTACCACCTCTCTCACGGATGCAGCTGGACATTTCTCCCACTATACCTTCTTTCTCAATGAGATTGGTCCACCTGTAACTGGGCTGGGGAGTATCAAGAACACCTGCAGTTCCATGTCACTCCTACTACCAATGCTACTTATCTGAATTAATTTCGCGGTGCTTCAAAGCCTCTAGTGCCATGAAGATAACCCTTCCAAAACTGGGGGCCGTTAGTGATCTTGTGTTCATGAAGCGTCGTGCATTACCCTACGAACTTCGTGAATCCGCGGAACATTAGAAATACCTTGGATGCCAAAGGGCTTCTCGAACCCATTTCGCCATCCGAGTGGGCAAATATTGTTGTTATTTCGTTAAAATCCGATAGACATACTCCAAAATTATTTGGCGATCGTTGCACCACTTTGAATACGGTGCTTCGACAAGGTTCGTGCACTCACGTGGAACCAGAGAATCCACCGATCCTCTTCCTCGATCCTAAGCACTGACCACATGCTGACTTGAAGAATGCCCACTTGTTAACTTCTTATCATCAAAGTTCTCGTGAGTTCACCGTTATGCACACCCCGTTTCGTTTGCATACGCAAAGATTACTACCTTCTGGACTGAGCGCTTCCCAAGCCATTTTCCCCTCTGTTATGAGTCCCATTCATGGGAGACTGGAAAGTGTCACATGATATCAGGAAGGTACCGCGATCCATGCGCTATAAAGGCAGTGTAGGATTAGCATTTTAGAGAGCTATGGAAAACGTTTGTTAGTTTCACCGCGGCCACCAGTCCCTCCCCCGAAATGTCAGAAAATGGCAACTGCTTCAACGCCAGCCTAATACAGGGGAGCTGGTGCAGTTACTAATGCCAGTCGCGCCAGACTTGGTTCTGACACCTATAAGCTTGCAATTCTCGGAGTCCCATCTAGAAAACTGTGACTTAATTCGAGGCGGTATTTGATGGGGGGCATCACGGCCCCCAAGCAGCTACGGCGGCTATTCACGCGGCAGTTAGGAGAAAACAGACTTTTGTGCCACAAACAGAGTTTGGAGCAGCAAGGGTTATTTACTCTGGAAAGATGAAGGAGATTTCTAATACCTATGGCTTCTAAAGTACTGAAAGGTTCACTGAAGCTCGAAGCCACAGAGGGGCATTGTACGAGCCGCGAAGAAATAGCTGCCTTAGAGGTCATGCACTGATAATCGAGAACGAGGGAGATTTGACTCGAATCAGTAGCAAGTCTTTTGCAGTTGGGGTCGTTGATGACTGGCAAAGGCTTCCAGGGGATTTGATAAGCGCCAGCAGTGTCTGCGTTCAAAAGGAGGTATGGTAAGTTGTGGATGACTGTGTTCCGGGAAGTGTGACCGGGAGTCTACCATAGTTTCTGTAGATAAGTGTCTAGTTCCTCTCACTTCTGTCTTCCGGGAACCCTTATCTAGTACCTACCACCCGTTAATATACTATCCTTATCACCGGAGAGATCGGTCGCGATATAAGCGTGACCACTGGCTGATTCGAAAAGTTGTTGAAGAGAGACAGGGTTGATTATTCAACCTGATCCCTACGGTGTACAGCGAAGTATTGAAGGAGGGTCTGTAAGAAGTGTTTTAGCAACGCGTAGCCGAACTTGCAATCGATCTCAAAATCAGAAGGCGATTACACGTAAAATTCTACGATACTAGAGTGGCAAATTAACAATGACACAAAACAGGTGCAGACCTCAATTATGCAATCAAAAGGACTCGAAAACCGAGAACCGAATTGCGGCGTGCGAGGAAGGAGCACGTGCGTCGCGCAGGTCCAGAGCAAGGATATGGCAGAGCAACGCGCTGGGTGCGAACAAACAAGCGTTGGTCCGTAAAAACAAACAGAGCATGAAACAAGAAAATAGTGTAAGTAAATGAGTGATGTTAATGAAACATGAAAAACTGCAGTGGTTTTTGGTGGATTTTCCTCGACCGGCCGGTAAATTGCCCACCAAAGTCCTCCCGAACCTTAGCAGAATCTAAGGTTCGGAATAAGGATACTGACACTTCCCGCCTACCTAGACCCTGCTCTCTGTGCGCGTACCTAATACCTTGCCGTCATTGTTTTACTCACCATTGCCCTAGATTCGGTGGCCACACCGACGCGAGGATACTCAGCGTCTCGTCTTCGAGCGGCTGTTGCTCAATGAGCGACAGCAATACTCGCCTGGTAGACCGGATCAGGCGTTCCCATACGCCGCCGCGGTTACTGGCTTGCGAGAGATTGAAGTGCCATCGTATGCCATAGGCCACGGTTTGCTTCTGCAGTTCGTCCCCGTTCGTGTTTTTATGCCAGCGCTGCAGTTTCCGTTGAGCGCCCACGAAGTTCAACCCATTGCCGAAGTTTATCTGCTGGTACTGCTCTTCGGTTGATAAAGCGCTTCAAGGCCCTGAGGAAAGAGTCGGTTGTCACTGAATGCACGACTTCTAAGCGCCTCGCACGTGACTTCAAGCATGTCATGATACACTCGTATCGTTTTACCAGCCTCTTCCCACACTTGATCCACAAAGGACCGAAATAGTCCAACCAGGTGCCGCTGAACGGTCATCAGCCTGGAGTCACTCTGCATTCTGGCAGCGGGGCCATGAGTTGTTTGCCAGCTGCGACACTGAGTCTCCTACGCTGCAAAC